CCAATTACAGGCACATAACCTCACTCCACCCGTCCTCCCACTAGGTCTCAGTAGGCTCACTGCTTTCCTCTCCCTTTCAGTGTCAGGCAGCCATACTGCAGGTTGGCCCTGTTGCATGCCAGCTTTGTGGAGTGACTCTGCCACATCCCAGCTCTGCACTCCACCTACCTGCCCATCCTGCACCTGCTGGGGCAGAACTGGATTTCCATGCACATGCACCTGAGCTTTTCTCCCAGCTCCCCCACCTCCAAGCCCTCCATGGGGTATTAGAATGTGAATTAGAGATACATCTTCTACCTATAGTCTTTTGGCATTACTCCCACCCACTCAACAAAAATTATGGCAGGAAAGGAGGAACCCAGGAAACTGGTTTGAAAACACAGATAGCCCCTGAAGCCTCAAGGTCAGCTGGCAAAAAATAAAAATTCTAATAGTTGTAAAGACCAGGACTAGAAAAAAAGTATGGGGAGGGATACTCTCTTGCCAATATTTTTGGACAGTGAATAAACCAGCTGTAGAAGACAGGAATGGAGCCAGGAATATACAGAGAAGGGGGTGGGAGAGGGTCATGGGAGCATTCCAAGCCCAGAGGCACCGAGAGTGAGATTTGGACATCCTTATGAAATCTCACGGCAGCGGGCCTAGTGATTTAAGGAGTGAGACAGGGAGAGGATGCTGTTTTGGTCAGAGCCTGGCTCTGGGGCCTCAGTTAGCTTTGCTTTGTAACAATCACCACATCCAGCTGCTCTGCAGAAGCAGGCTGGAGACTGCAGTCTGGACTTCATAAAATACTGCCCATGTCATCAGTCCCTCTGGGAAGCACCTGAGATGGCTGCTAACCCACCCACCTGAGGCCTGCCTCGTGTCTCCCTGTTCACCTGGGCTGGATCCATCAAGGTGAGAAACTGTAGAAAACTACAAGAGAAAAAAAGAGCATGCTATTTCTGTTCATAACCATCATTATCAGAAGGACTACCAATGAGTGGGTATCGTAGAGCCAGATGAGGCCGGTTACACACTGAAGCTTGTGCTCAAGATGGCCCCGAGCATCCCTGGCTGAGAGGGTAACCTCTCTGTGGCAGATGGGCACAGGCAATAGACAGGCCTCATGTGGCTGTTCATAGCACCCGAGAGGCCGTCTTTGATAAAGGGCAGGAGGCCTGCCTGGGGACCTGCCTTTTTGGCCTAATAATTTATAATAATCTTTGTGTTTCAGGGAGAAATGACATCGGGGATGTGTTCTCAGACACTAGGATGCCAAAGGGTGCTTTTCTTGGACTAGTGCGGACCCAGGCAGTAAGGCATTCAGCACCTTTGATGGAGTGGCTGCACTGCTGAAGGCACAGAAGGGAGATGGTATCCAATAGGTAGGGCCTGTTCCGGGCCTTCTCAAGCTCAAGGGCCAATGGGGAGGGCAGAGTAGAAAAAAATAAGGAAACGCATAACAGCAACAACCATTATAATACCTACTGCATTAGGGAGAGGAGCTGAGGGACAGAACCAGGGCACCTTACCTTATGCAGGATGTCAGGGACAAAAACCTCTTGAGGAGAAGACATTTACAGTGAGACCCAAAGAGGGGCCAAGGTGAGTTAGGGAGAGGGAAGAGAGTGCTGACAAAGGTCCGTGCACATAGGAAGCTTTGAGGCTGGCGTGGGTTGAGCGAATGGGCAAAGATCTTGGCAGATGTAATTAAGTTAAGGATACTGAGATGAGATCATCCTGGATCAGGGTGGGCTCTATATTTAATAACAAGTCTCCTTCAAAGAGAAGAAAAGCTGAGAAAACACACAGTGACGAGACCTGGTGAAGATGGTGAAGATGGCAGCGGAGAATATAGTGTTCCGTTTGTAAGCCCAGAAGGCCAAAGACCACCAGCAGGCACCAGAAGCCCAGGGGGGGCAGGAGGTGGACCCCTCTTCAGAGTTTCAGGAAGGAACCAACCTGCTAATTTTGAACTTCCAGTTTCCAGAACTGGGTTCCAAACCTGGCCCCCCACCATCCCGCCACAGGACCTTGGGCAAGTTACCTAACTTCTCTATGATTCAATTTTTTCCCTGCACAATGGAGATTAAAATAACTTCTCCCATGGGGAGCTCATCCAGTGATTTGCTACATAAATGCTGCAGGGACCCTGCTGCATGGTGAGGGTCCCCTGCACTCACTGCTTTCCTCAGGACCGACATGGAGGGATGTCTCACTGAGGCAGGACACGGGAACGGGCCTCAGAGACTCATGGAGTCTGGCCTCGAGCAGTGCGAGGATGTAGTGCTGGTTACTGAGAGGGAAGAAGTGAGTTGGGAGGGGTGGCCATGGCTTAGAAGGGCTGGGTTAGAAGTGTTGAGAAAACGGAAGAAGTTGGTGGGACTGCATCCTTTGAGGGTGGTGTTTGCCTGTCCCTGCAGGGCTACACCTAGCAGAGTCCAGGGTCTGGGACTTGGCAAGGTTCACCAAAGTCATCGCTGGGAAGGAGCATGGGGCTGGGAGGAGTGAGCACCCTGCCTTCCTGCTCTGGTGCTCCCTCATCTTCCTGCCCCAAGGGGCAACACTGAGCAGCAGACTAGACGTGAAGGTGCATCAATGCCTGTGACAAGCTGATGTGCTGAGACCTGCAAAGCTTCTATTGCCAATGCGTGGTGGCCCTATGAATCCCCAGTTCCACAAGGATAGCCACAGGAAAAAAAGCAGTGGGAGAAAAAAGCCATAACCACCCTGGCAAGAGAGAGGGAGGGCAGATGAAGGGAAAGACTTACAACAACGCTGTGATTTCTAGAATAGACTCCCTCCACTGGCCCGGGAGGGCTGGGTGAGAATCCCAGTCATGAAATCCCACGTGAGGGCAGGCTGGGGAGAGTACACTCAGGTGTCTTGATGAATTAGGGTGTATTCAGCAACTTCTCATTGCAAAATGTCCCTGTGGTATCTCAGAGCACCTATAATGGGCAGGGCAGGGCAGGGAATAGCAGGGACAGTGTCAGGGGTCCAGCTAAGTCATGAAGATTCAAAGCTTGGCAAAGTCTCCTTTACAGGCTGCCACTGAGGGAGTAGAGAACTGAGCCAGTATCCCCCCAAGAAAACAGACAATCCCTTAAAAGTTGTGCCTTCGCCTAGTATTAGTAACATCTTATTGCAAGATAGCCCGGACCTGAACAAATCTAAATGTTGAAAGTCTCAGAATATGGGGTCTTTGGGGACATTCAGAGGTTCTGCTAACCTCCTACTATGACATTTACAAGGTGTCACCTGACATAGGGTAACACATGTTATAGACATCCCAGAGGGGCCCAGTCTTTGGCCAGGGCCCATGAGCTCCAATTGTAAATATGGTGCACTCCTGACAACCACAACCCCTGCAAATTTCTCTCCACACTTGACCAGTTTCCACTTAAGCCACCCTCCTCTGAGCTGCAAAACTGCTCTGTGAGGTAGGCAGGGCAAGGTGAGTAGTCTCATACCAGGTCTTCTGTTAGTGCCAATAATAAGAGGAACCACTTATTAAATGCAGACTGAGATTTTCCTATGCATACTCATGAATTATTCCAATTTTTAGTTGAAGAGATACATCAGAGCCATTAGTTGCTATAAGGATTAGCACTAGGATTTGAAGCCTTCTCTGTCCTGGTTTTGAAACCTGGGTCTTCACACTCTACTATGTCAGCTCCCTCTGAGGGGAGACCTAAGGCCAGAGAACAGAAGGGTCTTACCTAAGGTCATAGGATCAATAACCAACAAAGCCAGCCCCAAATCTCAGTGCCATGAACCTAGACTCAAAGGTCTCTTCCCAGAACCTGAGGCAAACTATTACCTTCAACACGGAGTAATGTAAAAGCTGTAATTTCTCACTATTTAGCGAACCAGAGTTTCTAATCATTCTTCCATCCATGCTTTTAATTAAGAAGTCCTTCCCAACAGATTACTTACTAAGTGCCAAAGACTCTGCTGGATTCTAGAGGGAAAGGCTTTAATTAGACATAATACATGATGCCAATTTTTATAGCATCATTGGAAAAAATGGTGTTCCCATCATTGAATAAACTGTGAGCATAAGTTTTCCTGTAATCTGGAGGTTCCCAGTTTTGGCTGGTTATTGGAGTCAGAGCTTGGATTGAAAACATCAGATTTCTGGGACTCACTCAAATAGTCTGATTTAATTGGTCTGGGGTCCAGTCTGACCATCAGGATCTTCAAATACCAGAAGCATCTGCTAATGCTTCAATAGGACCTCACTGCAGATATTTCTCTCTCTAGTCATGACATAACTCACTGTTTTCAAAATTGACATGATGCAATTGATGACACATGGGGCATAAAACAGACCATTAAGAGAAATATGAAAAACCAGGAAATTTTAAGAGGTGAAGGGAGAAACCTGTGGCGAAGGCACAAAGAGGCACAAAAATCTATCTCTGTGTTTTCTAGAGCAACTACACAAAAGTGAGCAAGAAGGGTCACGCTGTTATCAGAGATGATAAAAAGAAAGCAAAGACGGAAAACCTCCAAAACTATTATTTCTGTAAAATTGGTCTACAAGGACCCATGAAAAATATTTGGATGAACAAGACAGCTGAATCCAGATACTCTGTGACTCATAAATCACAAGGCTGCTCCCAAATCAGCTCACAGCCAGTTTGAAGGTCAGCTTCTCCTTCCTGTAAGTCTTCAGGCTCCCTGAGAATGACCCTAGACGAAGTCAACCATGAAGGACGTGAGAGGGACTGTCACCTAGCTGTCTTGGGAAACGTTTCTACCAGAACCTGAGCAAAGAATAAAGAAGCCAGCTTACCACAGAAGACTGCCGCACCCATGTTGCCAGAAAGAGCTATTTAAGCTGAGATCACTGCACACACAAACAGGGTCCTTACACCCTGGCTTGATTTTACTTCCCCTCCTTTTTGATTATCAGTTGGAGGCAGACCATGCTTTGCAGAAAGCCTTGAGAGCTGCAGCTGGGAAATCCCAATCACAGACCACTGGGGAGTGCCTGGGTGAGGGGGACTTACGGGGGGTTGTCACATTTCCTCTGTCGGAAGCGGGCTCCAGTCCCACACGTTCGGCTGCACATGCTCCAGGTGCCCCAGAGGCTCCAGTCTCCGTCTACATGCTCCGGGATGGGCGTCTTGCTCACACATTCCCCTGCGCGGCACCACTGAAACACAGTAGGGAGGGCTAGGCTCACTCAAGACCAAAGCATGTGATTCCCTCCAGGCCAAAACACACCACGCTACCAAAAATCAATTTTCAAAAATTATGTAAAAGTACATTATTTCAGGGTGTTCATGTATGCTAACTTTAGTGACATTCCTTACTCTGCACAAAGATCTGACATCTGTACATGGATCCCTGTGAGATTTGGATTTTGCCCTAAAGTTCTACATGTAATGTGCTCCTTTGGGCTGTTCTGAATTCCCAGGAAAAGAGTTAATCTACACAGCTCATGAAGAGACCTGGGCTTCTGCAAACTTTACTTAACATGAGTGCATTTCTCTCTAAAAGGTTCTGAGGTTTTGAATTTCAGAGTTTGTTGGGTTTGTTGCTTAGAGATGACATAGCCAGCTCCACATGGGTGAACCTTGGTTCTTGGTTCTTAGTAGAAAAGAGTAAAACCAATCTTTTAACATAAAATTCCCCAAGTGTGTGGCATACACCCACAGAGTCATCCCACCGAGACCCACGGCTGGCTATGAATGCTTATCTAAGTGTTGTCCTGGGCCACACATTAAGTACACAAACACTAATGAAAGCTGATGAGCAAAAGGTCTGTGCATAATTCTCATAACATCTGACATGCAGATAAGCATTCAAAGCCAGCTGTGGGCCTTAGTTGGACTCTCCTGAACCTAGAACATGAGATGACATTTTGTGGTTCCTAACCATGGCATGAGAACAAAAAATAACTTCCTTTTTTTTTTTTTTTTTTTTGAGAAAGAGTCTTACTGTGTCACCCTCGGTACAGTGCCATGGTGTCACAGCTCACAGCAACCTCCAACTCTTGGCCTTATGCAATTCTCTTGCTTCAGCCTCCCAAGCAGCTGGGACTACAGGTGCCCACCACAGTGCTCAAACCTGCCAACTTCTGTGTATGTGGCTGGTGCCATAACCACTGTGCTACAGGTGCTGAGCTGGCAACTTCCTTTTCAACTGCTTCAATCCTTACAGTAAGACTACAGAAAAAGTCTCTGTGGCTGCTGCTCCCAATCACCTGTTCTCACACTTACCAATATCATGAGGATGGGGCTCGCTCTCTTAACATAGGTAGAATTGGGTAACACTGTTCTCATTGAAAGCATTTAATAATAGCTTTGTGTGTCTGTATGGTAGGTGTTAGCACTCTTTCATTTAAACCATACTAATGGGAAGTTTTCCTTTTAATGGGAAGTTTCCTTTTAATGGAAGTTTTCCTTTTAATGGGAAGTTTCCTAACACAAACATAAAGTAAATGGTTCTTACATCTTTTGAGAAAAGGAGTGAGGTGACAGAGGAGCCCCTTTGTGCCCAGAGTGGGCTCCATGGACATTTTTGTGGCGTCTGAGGGATGCTTCAGGAGTTCCTATGCAGAGTACAGACTGCCTTTCAGAAGGAGAAGTACCCAAGCACCCAGGAGACTGGGCAGAGGGAGCCGGGGGTTACCTTGTCTGCCCCACACTCAGTGCCATCCAGGGGAGGGTCCAGCTTGGTCTTGCAGGATGTATCACCTTCTACCAGGCACCACAGCCCAGCACACATCAGATGCTGTGGGACAAGGGGAGGAACTGTGATTGTGGAGAATGCCCGTGCACACAGGTCACAATGGGGCTCAGTGGTGTGGCCCAGTCTGTTTGGGATTGGGGATATGAAACATATAGGGGGACGGGAGGCTCGTGAGTCTTGGTTTTCCAAAAGATAGGTGCATTATTTCAACCAGTTCATTTATCTCAACAAAGTTCTATACATTTATTCCCAGGGTGGGGGGGTTGTTTAAGGGGCTGGAGCTCAGCAATTCCAACATCAGCTACTGAGGGCTGAGGAGGTATCCCAGGACAGGCACAGGTAGGAGCCTGCCTCCCAGGAGTGCGCAACAAAGAGATCCTATCCATTTAACATAGTGTGGCATCTACTACACTGCTGTACAGAGCACATGGGAAAAGGATCAAACTGAACCTTGTCAGAGAGGGCTTGCTGGAGGCAGCTCTGGAGCTGAGGCCAGCAGAATAAACAACATTACAAGGCCCAGAAGTGAGATCAAAAGGCCATGAAAGGTTTGGGCCCTGTGGCTATGTGGTGACAGAGGCAACCTTCCCTTTTCCCTATGGTCCCCTGTTTCCTAGCTCAGCTGAGCTCCACGTCATTTCTTGTATTATTTTACCTAGAGAATTTTGGAACTTCTACAGATATACAATTAAAATAATTCTGCTAAAACAGGACCAGGCATTTAAAAGCATAGACTTCCAATTGTATTAATAGAAAATCTGGATACCAACAAAGCGTTCAGAATGAGACAATTTATCAAAATCACTAAGGCAGACACAGCCAGTGTCTTTCCCCTAAAGACTCATGTGCAGATGGTGCCTTAAGGGATAGCCACTGGATAACCCCCATCTTATGTGTGGGGAAGACACTGAGGCAGGTTCTATGTGTCTCTCAGAGGGTCCCAGCATGATGACGCAATGCCTCTGGCAGTCACCTACTCATCAGAACATATTAGCTCCACCATGGTCCCCTCATAGTACTACCTGGGATCACTTCCCACATAAACTACTTGCACCCAAATCCTCATCTCATGGTCTGGAAACTAAGAACAGATGCACTTAAGGACCTCTTTAAAGACACAGTGATCCAGGGTGACAAACCCAACCATGGCTATGAGGTTTGTGCAGCGACAGGAAGACATCACCCTAAAGTGTGTGGTGGGAACCCCCTGGTTCACTGTGGGCAGGGTGAAAGGCAAGAGGTGTGGCACAGAGCTGTCATGGTGAGCTGTACTCAGTTTAGAGGTCTGTTCTTCCAAGTAATCTCAGACATCTGCATGGAAAAGACACACAATTGTGTTGCCTAAAGTTAAAAAAAAAGTTTAGAAGTTGAAGGGACAAAAATAAGAGAAAGGGGAGGAAGGCAGAGCTGGAGGAGACTTTGAAAAAGAGCTAAGAAAAGCCCACAGCTCGTTCTCATTTTTCAAGTATGTCAGAGCTGATTTGTATCCTTAAAGAAGTCGTTCAAGTGGAATATTGCACATTTGGGCTCAGAAAAGTCTGCACATTCTCATTATTGTTCACTTCACAGAGGAATGGTAAAAAGACAAGGGCCTCGAGCACAGAAGCAGCTGGTCCTATAAAGACCAACTGTACCTCATTAAATATTTGATTCCATGCACTATGACCTTGAAGCTCTTCAAGAGTGTGGCATCTGTGCACAGACATGTGCTCAAGAGACAAGGCTGACCTAGGAGGTGAATTTATGGGATAGAAGTCCCTGGGATTAGCAGAAGTGACTCCCACATAAGGAGAAAGAGGAAGAAGGTGGTGCAAACAGTTTACTATGCCTTTTATAGGCAGTGCTTTTTCATAAAACTTTCCTTATTATCAGATAAAAGAAGAATGAGGATAGGCAAAGATATCTTTAACAGAACACAAAAAGCAGTGATCTTAAAAAAAAAATTAATGGATTATACATGTACTATATTAAAATCAAGAACTTTTGTTTATCAAAAGACCCCTATGAAAAAATGAGAGAAGGTATCTGCAATACGTAAGAGAGATATTTTAAAGACATATAACCAACACTGAGTTTGTACCCAGAAAATATTTTTAAAATAACAAAAAAATCTTATAGATCAATTAAGAAAAAGACTCAGTAGAAAATGGGCAAACGTCTTAAACAGACACCTCACAAGGAGAACACTTAATGGCCAGTAACCTATGAAAAGGTGCTTGTTTCTTTTGTAGTCATCAGGGAAGGCAAATTAAAACCACCATTAGTATCTTTACATACCCACCAGACTGTCTAGAATTAAAAAGATGGAGAATAGAGAGCGTTGGTAAGAACATAGCACTGTGGGAAGTCTCATGCATTGCTGCTTGTGAGATTCTAACTTGGTTCAATAGCTTTGGAAAACTCCTTGGGAGTTTTTGCTAAACCTGAAGACATGCATATTCTAATACACTACAGTTATGATCCTAAGTACATAACAACAACAAAAAAAATGTATGTACATGTTCACCAAAGACATTAAGAATATTCACTGGAACACTATTTGTATTAGTTCTAAGTTGGAATGATCCACATGGCCATCAACAGCAGAACAGATATATGGTATATTAGAAGAAATGTGTACCAGAAAAAGAAAATGAGATGCAAAGGAGCCTCTGACCCAGCCTCTGACCCAGCCTCTGACCCAGCCTCTGACCTCCAGCACTGTGCCCAAGCCAAGCAATCACTGTTCTTGTGGTTAGTTTTCACTACTGGACATAGGGGACCACACAAAGGCTTGTAGTCACTGATATCTTCTAGATTCATACCGGGCATTCACATCATGCTTTGCAAATGAGAAAGTGGTCTGATGCCTGTCACCCTGAGCCTTGCAACATCCCCAGATGGCATGCAGGCTGCAACTTTCTCATAAGTTTTCTTCAGTTCTTCAATGAGATGTTTGTGAAGGTCAAAGGGCCTGAGTTGGGTCAGAAGCACATGTCTCCTAAGGAGAGAACTAAAATAATATAATGGGAAAGGTATTTGAACATTCAAGACCCTAACCTTGAATACATATTCAAGATCTCAGGCTCAGACTGAAAAGCATGGCCCTGATCCAGGGAAAAAATGGCAGAGGAAGATGAACCCAGAAGCATATCCTGAATAAATTACCGGATTTCAAAGCCAAAGCCCAAAATCCTCTGGGTAGCTGGTCAAAAAGATCAAGTCCTAGGTGATGGAAAAAGAGCTAGGCTGTGTACAAATGTCTCTATGGCTACATCACTCCAGAGGGAGTGGGGTAAGGCTGATAAAGACTCAAAAAAAAGAACAAGCACATGGCCCAGGAAGTATTTATCCGCTAAATAGCCACTTAAGTATCTGGGTGACAGAAAAACATTTTGAACTTACAAATAGTTAAATCCTTTGTTGGAGAAAATAACAAACCAACTTTGGCCAACTAAGAAATGACGGGAGAGTGGCTCGGCGCCTGTGGCTCAAGCAGCTAAGGCACCAGCCACATACACCTAAGATGGCGGGTTCGAATCCCCAGCCCGGGCCCCCCCAAAAAAAAAAATGGGTGCAAAAAAAAAAAAAAAAAAAAAAAAAATGGCCGGGTGTGGTGGCGGGCGCCTGTGGTCCCAGCTACTTGGGAGGCTGAGGCAGGAGACTTGCTTCAGCCCAGGAGTTGGAGGTTGCTATGAGCTGTGATGCCATGGCACTCTACCCAGGGGGATAGCTTGAGGCTCCGTCTCAAAAAAAAAAAAAAAAGAAAAAAAGAAATGAGGGGAGAACTCACAATGAATGGACTAGCAGTGAGCACTGATCAAGAGTGATTGAAACCAATGTGAGAACTGGAGTCAAGGAATAGAACACACATAGTGGAAACCCAGACGAGGCAGAAATGGCAGAGAGAGAGGAACCATTTGGGAAGAAGGTGGGCTGAGGCAGGAACAAGGGAGGTTGCCTATATGTATACCAACTTTTTACTCTTTCTAACTGGGGGTAAAAGAAAAATACAGGATGGCCCCTATTTAACAAATGGTGCTGGGTGAGCTGGCTGGCGACCTATAGAACACTGAAACTGAACCCACACCTCTCACCATTAACTAAGATAGACTCTCACTGGATTAAAGATTGAAACTTAAAACATGAAACTATAAAAATACTAGAAGAAAGTGCAGGGAAAACCCTTGAAGAAATTGGCCTGGGTGAATATTTTATGAGGAGGACCCTCTGGGCAATTGAAGCAACATCAAAAATACACTACTGGGACCTGATCAAACTAAAAAGCTTCTACACAGCCAAGAACACAGTAAGTAAAGCAAGCAGACAGCCCTCACAATGGGAGAAGATATTTGCAGGTTATGTCTCTGACAAAGGTTTAATAACCAGAATCCACAGAGAACTCAAACGTATTAGCAAGAAAAGGACAAGTGATCCCATCTTAGGGTGGGCAAGGGACTTAAAGAGAAACTTCTCTGAAGAAGACAGGTGCATGGCCTACAGAGATATGAAAAAATGCTTATCATCCTTAACCATCAGAGAAATGCAAATCAAAACCACTTGGAGATATCATCTAACTCCAGTAAGATTAATCCACATCACAAAATCCCCAAACCAGAGATGTTGGTGTGGATGTGGAGAAAAGGGAACACTTCTGCACTGCTGGTAGGAATGCAAACTAATACGTTCCCTTTTGGAAAGATGTTTAGAGATCACTTAGGGACCTGTGATCACTAAGGTCACAAAATAGACCTGCCATTCCATCCTTCAATTCCTTTACTAGGTATATATCCAGAAGACCTAAAATCACTTTATAACAAAGATATATGCACCAGAATGTTTATTGCAGCCCAATTCATAATTGCTAAGTCATGGAAGAAGCCCAAGTGCCCATCAATCTTTTTGTCTGGTACTCAGAGGATTTCTGGCTTTGTCTTTGAAATCCAATTGACCCATAAATGGATTAATAAATTGTGGTGTATGTACACCATGGAATATTATGCAGCTTTAAAAAAAGATAGAGATTTTACTTCATTTATGTTTACGTGGATGGAGCTGGAACA